CAAGTTTAGAAGATAAGACAGATCCAACATTTCCCTTTCTTGCCGATTACTGTATAGAGACAATTAACAGGTATTATCTACTTATGCTTGACAATTTTCTTCATCAAAACTCAATTATAATTTAATATAAACATTATTTTAGGAATGAAACTCATAAATCGAGTCGAATTAAATGTTTCTCAAAGCACTTTTTCAATGATGACACTGAGCCTAGTCTTTTATCGAAGTTTTGAAAATATCATTTTTTAGAATACATGGATTTGTAAACACTTCATTTTCAGTTTTCGATGTTGATTCAAATTCTGATACTTATTTTAGATTTTTAACTGAGTTTTCTTGAAGAATATTGAAATACATAAGTAGCATTTCTCGGTTCTCTCCAGTCATTATTTTCAATGAAAGGCTTGTTTCTCTAAAGAAACAGTAATAGCAAAAAAAAACCGGGTCGCTACTTTTTATTTCTTTGCCATTATAGAGATGTAATGATTAGAAATGTGAGGGTTCATTTATTCCGTTCCCTAAACTAGATGGGTTTACAAAACAGGTTCCCTAATGTTCAACAAACGTTTACTTCTAAGCATAATACGCAAAATCTTTTTTGCAATAGAATCTTCAATCTTGTACCAAAAAACAACACAGTTAATGCTTCGCCTAAAAATGCGAATAATACATTTAAACATGTTCGGAAAAAGTGATTTTTTATAGATTTTATGTAGCTGTAGTTTTCTCGATTGATTTACTTGAAAGAATTCCTTTGAACAGTTTTCGAAAATAATATTAATCAAGTCCTAAAACTTCTATCAGGTGGCATAGAGATAAAGCAAATGAAAAGCGTTGCAGTTTAGATGATCAATCACTATATTGGAGAAATCAGTGTTTAATCGCATTTCAACATACTGACAGACTTCATTCGACCCCATAGTTTGTCTATTATTAGGGCTTTATGGAACAAAGAAAATTGTAAATATGTTCGATCCATAAGTCATTCAGTCATAGTCATAACCGTCTCAGTAGCTTTTTCATCTCTGAACAATCAAGCTATGGAAAAGTCAATGATGCTAGTTCCATCGGAAACTTTATCTATAGACAGATTTCACAGTTACTAAAATATCTTAGAACTTGCAGCGCAAACGAATCTATTTTTATTGAAATATTAAATTTCTACAACAGCCTGATCTTATGATTTACCTTGTTATATAAAATTATTTCTCGCTATGTCACCAGAAAATACTTTTGTTTGCAGTGAAATTTTTATTATACTATAGCAATCGTGAGACCTGTCTATGGACAATAATTTAAATTAAAAATCTTGGAAATCACTTTTTCATGTAAAACTAACGTAGAGACTAAAAGCCTACCAAATACGATTGTAACTCTGGTAGGTTAATGCCTGAACTCCAATCCATTTAGGATTTCATTAGTTTTACTGAGTCCTATTCATAAATAATAAAGAGAATCGAACAACATCGAGTAGTTGCGTATATGTTTCCTGATTAGTCTCATTGTCAAATAGAAACACAATCGAAAAGAACTAATAAATACTTGCGAATAGTACTGACTGTTTCGAGTTTTGTTACACGTCCAATTGTCAAAATATCTGTCACTTTCATTAATAAACCTCGAAGTGAAACAATAATAATGGCTACAAGACATGCCTGAAAAAAAAATCCTGAACTATTGAAAAAACAACAATTTTCAGACTTTTGGCATCGGTTCGAGAAGTGGTCCGATCTTTAGAATTGTAATCGACAGAAAGATACAGGAAATAAGGCCGACCAACTAGTAATTAAATCATTTCTTGAATAAGAAAGATGATTTTTATATAATATATTTCTCTACCTGTGTTCGACCACCTAAATTTACGCAAACGCTTGTTCGAGCCAGTGACGCAGCACATGGATAGCAACCAAAAAATGAACCAATTATCTAAACCAAGTAAAATCTTTCACAATAAACATATTCTGAATTCCTAGCAATTTTTTTCTATTTTCTTGCATAATTCGATAAATCTCGGTTGAAAAAGAATTGTTTCTTTTTACAATCAGTCAATGAACACAGAACTTTTCCTTGTTCTCTCGAATATGAGAGGATTAACTTAATGTTATTGTCATGGAACTAAATATTTCAATACTTGACAATCAATATGGTCACTGATACGAATTAGTTATTAATATCATAATTGACAAAAACAGTCGAAATAATTTCAAACTATGAACACAATCGATGTTTTTACATTCTCTTGATCATATAACACACAAAATATATCGATTTTCACATTTAGTTATTTAAAAGAAAATCATTAAAAATTGTATTTTCTTAAGACTCATAGATAAATCAATGGCAACTATCATTGACGATCTTGTTCGCCATAAAATATATATTAATAATATAAAAATAATTCTTCTGAACGAAAACGAGAATTCAATCTTGTTTATTTTGAGCAGGCACTAAAAATCATACGATTCTTTAACAACTAATTCACTTTTTTTAGTAACGATATATATGCATACTATTAGATAACATTAAAATTCAGTGATGATATACATTAGACTTTCTATTCAATTTTAAGTACAAGTTTAAAGCGAACTTCAAAGTCTTCGAGAGGATGAGAAAAACAATGCTGTATTCGTACCGTTCCTCAAGAAATTCTTTTTCGATCATTGCAACTTACATTACATAGTCCATAGGCAGATAATTCTCGATTGGCATCGACCACATAATTTAGTTGTTTGGCATAATTTTTTGCAAGCGAATAAGAAATAGCATATGAAACGATAGCTATTGGAATCGAGTCTTTGATTAAAATAGGTAATAGTACCCATGAATGCAATTGAGGCGCACGAAAACTAAACATAAAATCAAATATAAAATAGTTTTTCATTGGCATAGATAGCAACTTTTTTCGAACTGAGTTCTTAGTTATTGGTTAGTGTGAAACTTCTAAACATTTTCCGATGGAACATGTGTATGATTGTACTCATACTTTTACTTTGACCAGGGTTTCTCGATACGTCCAATCCCGACTTGAGACAAAACTACAACGCTCATATTAGAAAGCAAAAAAAAAATGAATTTTGGTAGTAAAGATATTTAAAGTTCGAAATTCAGTTAGTATTGAAAAGTAAAATATGGATGTTCAAAAAGCTATATTGTCTGAGATAAGTTTTTAATTTCAAAGCCATATATTAAAATCTAATATTTTTTTTACCGCTAAAATGTCTGCCACAAAAAGTGACGAAGCACAAGAAAAATGATGCACAAGTAAAAACAATAGAGTTTATTTCCACGATCATTGAAAATATATTTACATTCAAAAACTAATATGAAGTTAAGAAATATTTTCTAAACTCCAAAAACAATGATGAAAGATAAAAATGAGAAAATGACATTCTAGTAAGAGCAATTCATAAATGATTAAAATGTGCAACAAGATGGAACCAATTTAAACGTTTTGAAGAGACTTCACTATGTCTATCACAGTCCGTGGTGAAATTAAAAATCAGCATGAGAAAAGTCCATTAGAAAATTAAAAATGACGACAAACTTGTGAACCTGTTTGTAACAGTCTTTGGGGCGAATCATGCGAGGAACGGGGCATTATTCTCGCTATGTACTTCAATAGTTTTCAAAAAGTTGTATTTAACAAAATTCATTTGAAAGCTGACACTTGATATCCCAAAATTGAAACTAACTTATTGATATGTGTCTGGTATTTAGGGATAATCTTTAGAATGTTATTTCGTTTAAGAAAAAATTCGATTTTCGTCGACTTCAGCTTTTCAGACTATGGTCAATCAAAAAAATGAATTTCAACCGAAAAAAGTAGTTTACAACAGCTTATCAATACAAGTACTGGTGGGGATTAAATGTCGAATTCACATTAAGATTTACATTTCAATAAAATATAAATGAAAATCAACTTAACAACCTCTAAATCGAAAGCTTTTTTTTCATGCTAATTTTTTACAATTTATAAACTGAGTGTTTCTAAGAGTAGGAAGAAGTATTTCGATACCAGTGTATACTAATTATTTTTTATAGGGCACTCATTAAAATTTATTAAGATTAAAATCTTCTCAATATAAATGAGTAGTTGTTGATATATTTTTTATGTATCTGATGAATTGGTTGGAAGATAAACTATATTTTCTGACTCTATACTATAATACGATGTTTAAAAAAGTAAAAATAAAAATAAAATTAATAGCTTTTGCACAGATCCCAAGTTGACAGTTTAGAAAATCTAGTAAGAAACAGGACAATTCATCTTACCCTTTTCCAATTGTCTTGATTGTCTTAACGTTGTATTGAGTATTGAAATCAAATGTATATGATAGAATTGTACCAATAACAATCTATCGTTGACAACATAGAATAAACCACAAATCATTTTTTAAAAAGAAAAAGAATTTCGTCAATAATTGTTAACATACAACAATCAATTCTATTGGAATTGGTATTTGAACTTGTCGAAAAATTTTGCATTGTTTTATCAGTCGTTTGTAGGCCGGTTCAATAAATTCTTTGACAGTATATATTGATATCATTGCACTTATGGATATGATTAAAGTCACAAAATTAGTTTCTCTTAAACGTTTAAATAGTTCAATGTAGACCTTATTCAATGAAAATAAAAATCAATCGTAGAAACACAACAAATATTCTGAGTTGCTTACATAAATAATTTTAAGAGGACCCGTGCGACGTTGAATTTTAATGCCGAATACGTCAGGCATTTGGGACGTTAGTACAAGTACGGCAGTTCCTGCTGTATAACCACTGATGAATGTATCTGATAAAAATAATGTCACAAATCCGAGACGGCAAATACTAAGTATTAGCTAATCAATAAAAGAATATCACTCAAATTATTAGCTTTTTTTCATTTTATCTTACTTGTACTAATCCAACGGTGAATGAAAGTGCCATTGCAATGATTACTTCATCAGAACCTGTTGGAAAATTATCAAGTGTTCTATTTGTGTCACCAATAGTTGAGCTTGATTTTATATTGAAATTATTGACGACATGACCAGTCATAAGACTAATAACAGCAATGCCACCTTTTATGCAAAAAATAAAATCCATTGATACAGAATAATATTAAGAGGTTCGAAAAAGACTTCTAGTACAAGTCTTATCATGCCAATTTTTGCAAAACGATTGAAAAACTTCAACTAATTATACATCAGGATCTACTTTATATTGAGAAAAATTCATGAGAATACCAGCAAGCAGTATATCGAAAGATCTATCGCTGCTCATAATCGGACTAAAAATTTCATCTTACAATGAAAAAAGTTAGCTGTGAACTTTTTTATTTCACACCTCTGAATACATATTTCAAATAGTCAAGTATACCAGCAACGATCGTACACTGAAACAAGGATGATATATGACGCTGATAAATATACAGGGTGTCCCAAAAGTAACGATACCGAAAGAAAAAAAATTGAATATCTCCATTGCGGCTCGAGCAAACGGGCTGGTTTTTTTATCACTAGTAAAGGTATGTTCATACTTCATATTCATAAGGACAAGGCAAGAGAGAACCTTTTTTTAAGTACCACTATTGACTTCAACAAAAAAAATTTTTACTTTCTCACAGATAGGAAAAAACCCAATATACTTAACAAAGGATCTCTCTAGTCATGTCTTTATGGATACAAAGCTTGAACATGCTTCTCTCATTGGTAAAAAAATTAGCTCGTTTGCTAGAGCCGTAATGGAAATATTCAATTCTTTTTCGATAAAGTGACTTTTGTACACCCTGTATATTGTTTTTTTTCGTATCTGCGAAAGAGCAAAAATTTTTTTGTTGAAGTCAATAGTGGTACTTAAGAAAAATTCTCTCTTGCCTTGTCTTTATGAATATGAAGTGTGAACATACCTTTACTAACGATAAAAAGATCAGCCCGTTTACCCGAGCCGTAATTGAGATATTCAATTTTTTCTTTCGGTATCGTTACTTTTGGGACACCCTGTATTTATATCCCGTATTCATATATTATGATTAGATAAAATAATGTTATTGTATGTCTATAAATAAATACACAAGATAATATTGAAAAGATTTCAATAATATGTCTGACAAGTTAAAGCGTTCAAAACATTTTATAGATCATAATTAGATTCAAAAGTTAAATTTGAAAAATTTGAGTAGTCTAACAAATCTAAACCTTTTTAAAAATCTTCAAGAGTTTTAGATCAATTTCTGGGGTGGATGCAAAATTTGAGCTAGAACAAAGCTGCTTTTATAATAAAATGTCTCTAATTCAAAAATCGACAGAAATATATTTAAAAAATGTGAGATATTGAAAATTTTCCAATTGAATTTTATCTACTTTACTTTCCTAAACATATTATTGCAATTCTACCGTGCGATTCTCTACAGGTAAACTTTGACTTGTGGCATATATTTTGTTAGCGTTTCGATTTCGATGTATTTTTTGTCCACTAATTATAAAAATACTGTTTATTTTCCATACTAAATCGAAATTTTGATAATCAAAGTTTTCTGTCGATTTTATCTCAAACAAAAAAGATTGAAAACCTTTCAACATATATAATCTTGTCAAATGCGTTGAGCTCAACTCTAATCATATGAAAATGTTGGGTAAAAAAAATATTGTTCGCTTTTGAATAACTGTCACTGTTCATGAGTGTTCGTTTCATAACGATCACAGTCTATGATAACGTTTCAGATTTAGCATTTCAAAATATAAATCACGACCTACGACAAGAGCGAAAAAGCGCCCCAAATTATCATGGAAAAACATAGTTTTGAATCATTGCATTAGAGAGCCCTTCAGTCAAAAAAATACAGTTTGCAATACCAAATGGTACGGGGAACAAAGGAAAAACTGCATGTCACGATATCTATCATGGACGGAAATGGAAGCTAGTTTAACCAAACTACTTGATACAGTCAGTGAAACAGCTTCAACCGATTGATACTCTTTGCTTTACATGGAAAACTGCTTAATAATAGTGTTTCATAAAATCTAAAAACTGCTGTTTTAAATGCCATCCAAAAAAAACCAGCATTCCACTTCGATTTTTTTCCGGATCTATATATCTCTGGCGTTTTTTGATCGCAGTTAGTCGACCAGAGATCAAACTATATCGTACCAGTACGTGTTCACTTTTAAATTAGTTCAGCGATAAATATGTTAAGAAAAGCTTATTTAATAAGCATTACATTGACAAATAGAACTTTTTTATTCTGATTATTCTCTGTTGGGCAACCAATTTCATGCCAGTAAATCTATCGATCATGCCCAGTCTATATATAGATATGCATCTAACAGATAATTACATTCTCTTAAGTTTTCAAGCAAAATATCCAAGATAATATATCATTCTTGTTCTTGTCTATAGTGATATGCAACATTTTTCTATGCTAATTACTGACACGTAAATATCAGTGTTATTTATGTATACAAAAGATCACTATTGACGAAAAGTGAAACTGAAATTATTCAATATTGACTTGCTATTTTGTTTTGCTATTTTGTAGTGCACATACTGCTTCATTCAACAATTTTGACTTTTTCCTTCAACGTCTATTTATTTATTTCTCGTCAAAATAGAATCATTTTTCTATAGCAACACTATATTTAATCAAAAAATCTGATTCACTTTTTCAAATCTCTTCACAGCGATTAGCATCGGTCATCGAATATTCGAATTGATTTTATCTCTTCGATAACATATATATTATAAGGAGAAGCTTCACATTTGTTTAACACATATGTTTCAATTCTATGCAATATCTGACAAATTCATTTTAAATGCTCAAGATAATAACTGATATTGACAAATTTAGATAAGTCTATCATAGACTTTTCAAGTTAATAGGCATCTTTCGAAATTTGAAAGTTTTGTTTTTCTGTGCATATATTGTAGTGTCTGTCATGATATACGATGAAGTATGAAAAAGGCTCTAGTTTTCAATATTTTCTTCAAAGTCCAAAAAGAAATCTTGAAATCTAATGGTATACATCAAACAAGAATTAAGAAGAATTGTGAAAAAAGTCAATTCCTTGACTTGAAACCGGTTGACAATCTGGATAAATTTCATTGCTACTGCTAAGACCATAATATTTAGTACTAAATCATTTTCTAATTATTTTTTATGAAAGTCTTTAGTATACTAATGACGATCTATGAACAAGAGACGAGAAGAATAACAGTTTTTAAAAGGTTTCACAGACAGAAAGACACATATACTTCAACACAAATCAACAATCTTATTTCAGAAAACATATTAAATAAAATGAAAATATCATACCTATCGCAACATGTCTTGACGTTCCAAAAAATGCATAAATTAGAGGCGGAAAAAATGACATGTATAAACCTTAAAAGCACTAATATTTTATATGAAAGATAATCAATAAAATCGATTATTTACCAATGATGGGTGGCATGTTGGCTAGTAGAGCATAGGCCATTCCTTGAGATATGTATATAACAGAAACCTGAAAAGAAAGACTTTTTTAGTACAATCTCTATCCAAACAATATGCCAAATATGGATTGACTCGTTATAATTAAACCTAAAGACATGGTCGATATTGAATACAAAGTATCTCTGTCATGGTTTATACAGAAAACAAGTCGAATAAAAATCGTTTATTTTTGTTACCATAAACTTCAACATTGATTTATAACTATGTTTAAGAATATTACGAAAATGTCTACTGAAGATCTAATATGGTTTAAAGCATTTTCCATATTTTTTTATCGTTGTCAAGAACGAGATGCATCTACGATTATTATTCCAATGTATTTTACTTTAAAATCATATATAACTTGTCTAAAATAGAAATATATGCAATAATTTGTGGTAATGCCTTCTGATTCATTTGTCTTTCATGTAAAGAAGCTTTATCAAAGCGAACGTTTTCACTTACAGTAACACCGCATAAAATATCAGTTGGTAGCCAACCAACTTCATATTGTTTAAGCCAAGTCAAAAATGGAAAAAGTCTATTAATATATGATTGAGCACATTTCTTCGATGGTACACAATTATCTTCAATACAAATCAACAATCTTATTTCAGAAA